ATGCAATATTCTTTAAATACTGTTTTTTTTAGGACGGAAAGCTGAAAGCTGCAAGGAGGCAAAAAACTAGAAAAGAAAGAGGATACCTATAATAGCAAGGGGAGAACCAGCAACAAGCTTAATGCTAGGTTAAAATGAAGCTCATTGCACAATATAGAGACTGGCAAGCTATGGGTCGAGATCTTGCCCAACAGTGGCAATTGTACTGTCCAAAGTGAAATCTGCAAAAAATCTAAATGTAGATTTTAAAAAATTGTTTAAAACAACAAACCTTGCAATGGACAACAACTACATGGTTAGAGTCACTCTTGAGCCATGAATCAATTGATTTAATTATGCTGCAAAACACAACAACAACAAGAACTGAGACTTTTAGTCACAAGAAAATCATATTTAGAGACTAAACTTTAAAAAAAAACACTCAAAATTTAGTTATCTTTTATGTAGTGTAAACAGCACTGCCTGTAGTCTAACTGCTTATTTTATTTTAAAAATATTTCAGCAGGACAGTCACATAGAAGTGTCAAAGTTAGTAGATCTACTGTGAAAAAGAGGGTTGCAAATCAACATGATTCTAGTAATGTAACAGAGTTTGAAGGTTTTGCTTGGGCTAGCAGCAGAGCTATTTTGAAAAATTAATTCTGAAATAACCCCACAAAGGCTTAAAATTTTGCATCTGTGCACCACAAGAAGTTAGGAAAACACATCAATTGTATCTTACCTACACAGTCTCTCTAGCGGTGGAGCCAAGTGGTCTGGCCAACCAAAATCTAACACCTGTACCACAATAAAACAGCTCATGAATCACTATATGTACATGTACCTCTTTGATCGTGCTGTGTCAGCTTTTTATGTAGGATTGAACATAATTAATGACAAGTTAGGCCATTGGTAAATCCTAAACTGATGCTATTGATGACTATCTACAGCTAAAATTCCTCTATTACATGAATGTCATAGGATGGGTAGGAGAAGGGTATAGATGCTAACTTGATACAGTCAAGCCTCCTATGGACACCTTCACCATTCATGCCTACGCTCATAAGAAGTGCCACCCTGTCCATGCAGTCAGTATTAAGTTAAGGACAGTTGAACACGACTGACTGAGCAGACCAGCTCAGAGTTCCCACTAGTTTTTATAGTTAAAGGTCCTTGGGACCCCCAGTTCCAAAGAGTTGGGGGTTCTTTTTCTTTTCAGGGGTCCTTTGCCTATTACTAAAATTTTTGGAACTTTTTTCCTACGTCATTGCCAAAAACTGTGCGTCCTTTTCATTTTTTGTGTGTATAAGACACACACCTGTACATTAATGGGAGCTCTGCTGGCTATAATCAAATCAATCAATCATTCAATCCAACTTAATTCATGTGTCAGAGTACATGTATATAAGAAAATATCTGACCAGAGGCAGACATACAGATCACACAGCCAGTCATCTTCATTTTTTTTTTGGAAAATTTAAACAACATACTATTTATTAGTAAATGAACTCAATCACTCTACCTGGTGATTTAGTTTGGATATGTCATATCTTCTTTCAGATAAATTAAAAACCTGAAACACACAAAAGATAACAGTGCGGTAAAATGATAAATTAAACTGTAGACATATATTACATAGTATGCATTGTCAGAGGGACTGTACTATAAATTTATGAAGGCTAAGCTTGATTTACCGTTACATGCACACCTCACCCAACCCTGTTTGGATCAGGGTATCCAGTTGAGAGTGGCTGGCTAACACCCTGCAAATAAATTTCAGACCAAAGGAACTAGCTTATGCAACCTCCAACCTTGTCCGATCAGCTCTTAGGAGACAAAAGTCAGTTCCAGGCATACATGGGAAATACCTCATTGTCCCAGCTGTCTAGTAAGCTACCTCTCATCCCCACCCATGTCCCAGATGGGTATCACATCTTACCATGTACTTATCCTGATGGTTTGTCTGCAGCATCTTTGCCACTTCTCTCAGGTTATTTCTGTAAGTTGTTTCCAGACCAGATCCAGGAAATGACATTGCTGTATTCCAAAAACAATCGCCAATAATTAGAAACAGTAACAATATGTTGACGAAGTTAAATCCCACTTGAGGCTGGGAATATTTTCATTGCCATTTTCACAACATTTTCACAACATTTTCTTGATAAATTATGTCAGCAAAGTGCTTGGAAAAAAGTTCTTTTATGTCAAATTCAGTCATACCGATTATCCTGTCTGTGATGTAGGTCAAGTCAAGATCAAACTGCTCATCCACATGCCGCACTCTGTTCCTAAAGAAGGACAATGATGTGAAACACAAACGTTGTAAGTGGAACATGATTGATGGGAACACTTTTACCTAATATAATTATTCTTTGAAGCAAATTCTTAGTTTCAAAAAAATTATAATTTTACTGAAAAAAACAGAGATGGTACCTTGAGACTCTGTGTCGAAAAATGTTTGTGACAAGGTTTTTGGGTGATGATGTCACTCGCTGAAAAAATAAACAAATACCCATATTTTTAGGTGTTTGAACTACAGTAGCTTTTACTTAGTAATTAAATAACACCACCACTTGTCCTGTAGCAGCTTCTAAATCTAAGTACAGGTAACTACAGGTATGTATGGTATCCAGTAATCAAATCTTACAATTATTTTTGTACTTGTCTGTAGAAAATTTACAGGTAAATATACGCCAAGCAAAAATATAAAGCTGTCTCATCTATAACTTTGTCTCCGTGTTATTGGGCTCATCTTAAACTGTTAAAGATAACCTGTCACAAATAACTTCACTTTTGACACATATGTTTCAACGATACTCTTTGATCACCTCAAGATTGCATGTTGAATTACATACTTACAGTTTTCCTAACACCACCAACTTCATCATCAGGTAGAGTCTAGAAGGTGACAGAAAAAAAATAACATATGGGGGAATCATGAACATGGTGCTTTGTGCTATTAAAGCAATAAATTAAGCAGGCACAAGCCACTGCCACTATTATCCATTGTTTTTAATCATATCTGCAATCGTTTCACTAATCATGCACCAATCACCCCTAACTGAACTCTCTATGGAGCATACCATAATCCATAGATAATATGTAAAAGTATATTGAGCACAAGTGAAAACTGCCTGTCATGAGTGAGGAGTACTTTTAAGAAATGCAGCTTTTTTTTTTTTTTTTTT